TATTATTAGACTATTTCAGGTTCTTGCATATTTATTTGATCGTGAGTAAGGCTTAAAATTGAAATTTTGTCACTTGCTAGTTGAAATATGTTTACATATTTATTGATCGTGAGTAAGGCTTAAAGTTGAAATTCGAGCTATCAGGTAAAAGACATTTGTTTACATATGAGAGAATATGTATAATTTCGTGTTAAATTGAAGAAGATGAAAGTGGATATATATAGTGGAATGGGGGAGAAAAAATATTTGCAGCTTGTCTTTTGGAAGCCATTATTATATGGATCCGTGTCTTAATTCTTTTTTTTTTCCAATTTGCTAATTAAATTTTTTTTTGTGTATGAAGGACAAATGATCATGAGTTCTGTGGCTTCTTGAGTATGTGAATGTTTCTTCTTTTTGCTAGTTCTGTGACAAAATTTGATGTTTCTTAAGTTCTGTGACAAAATTAATTCGTTTATTCATTTTGCTAGTTGAAAAGGGACATTATTACGTTTTTTTGGATCTTATATTTATTTTAGTGGACTTGTATTGTATCTTTATCGTAAAGTATTATCCTAAAATGTCAAATGGGCGGGAAAAAAAACTATGCTTTATTTTATTGTGATTTTACTTTTATTTTGTTGGTATTTAGATTTATAGTAGATAGATTTAGTTTGTTTTAGATTTGTTGCTAGTAAGATATAAATATTTATTGAATTAATGGCATAAAAGTAGACACTAGACAAGAAAAAAATATACGTGAAACCGGCAGTTTAAAACCGGACCAAACCATTAGGTTTAGATTTAAGTTTTTGTCAAATCGATCAAAACGGTTTGGTTTAGGTTTGACTTTTTCTCAAACCGGTCAAAACGGTTTGGTTTGAAAATTGTTCAAAAATCGCAAAAATCGGACCGCTTACACCCCTACTCCAAAGTCAATAAATCCTGCTGGAAGGCTAATTGGAATTTTTGTCTGCACATGCAACAATGATATGTGAGGGAAAATCACGAATGAACAGTGAACCTCAAACCCTCTCTTTTAAGAGAGCAGGGATATATCATTGAAAAGCACTTGCTTTGTCTTTTCATTCTAATTATTTGACTTGACCATTACCTAGATATCTCTATATCATTTAGTAACTTGTGCCGATTTTGCTCGATAATTCAATTTGGGAAATAATAACCATCTTCATTTGCTAGGTAGTGGACAAATTATCAAACGGTCATTAAGTTGATATCAAGGAAGGTCAATACATTCAAACACATATAGGAATAAAATCATTACAACATAAGCAACGTAACTTAAAACCTAAGTTAGTGTGTCGATTACACAAATATGAAAAAATAAAAATGAGTCTTTCATCTCATTATATAGTTGGAACACATTTGCGTTCCTCTTCCGTTCTCTTTCATGTTTTCTTTTGTAGATCCTTTTCCCTTGCGAATAGTTGTGTTCAAGGATATCTCCATGTCATCTTCTTCGGATATTTGGGCATCGATGCTTTGATGGGTAGTCCGACAAGTAGTGTTCGGGCTTCCTATAACTATGACAAATGTCTTTGTTCTTCCCTGTCATTTACAAAAATCAGTAAACACAAAATCACATTATTTCAATTGAATTCAGAAAACACATTCAGCAGGAAATAGATCAATTTATCACTTTAGCTTTTCCTAAATAATCCCTTCCAGAACTTAACAAGTTTGGTCATACCACTTATTTGAACAAGTTAAATTAGTAAACATGAATTGAAACTTCAATGTTAAAGTTTGTTTTCATTTTTTGAGCATAAACACAAGTCAATATGACGGCAAATTGCTACATACATACAGTTAATAGAATTTTGCTAAATTATCAATGGAATCATAGAAAAAAAAACACTTATTTTCCTTTGAGGCAGCCAAACTGGGTTCCTCGATGGAAGGAAATGCCAGTCAACGGTAGACAGACAGGGCTTGTAATGCTCAAAACAAGGCTTTTGATGAAGGATTTTCAAAGCATTTTGCCTTCTTTTTCGTACTCCAATGGATTACATGATAAAACGAAATCTATTGTCGAGGACTTATCCAAATAGCTAAATTAGTACTGTCTTCTTCCTTGGATTCTGGCGGTTGTAGATGTGGGTCAAATTTATGGGGCATTTTACCTAGGGTTTGGCCTTGATGTTGGGGGATTTTTATTTCAATTGCAAAGGAAATAACATTGGTATAATTTCAGAGACGAAGCGTGTTTAGTTTTCTCTCCAAAGTTAAAGGCGCATTTAGCACTGTTTACTTGGCTTTGACATGGCAATTGAGTTACCATTTAACGTGCCACATCACATTATCGTCAGCCACGTAGGCAAGTTTACTAACGGTTTCCATCCGGTGGTCAATGGTGTTGGACGGAGTGAAGTTGAGTGGTCAATGAGACAAGTTTCAAAGGTCGGTGAGTAAGCCGTGACAAGTGCCAAAATTCAATGGCTACTCAAACATTTAACTCAGTTTTCTCTTTCTATAAATGACGGTTTTGAAAGGTTTTTTCAGTATATTAATTAAAGGGAAAAATTCATTTCTCCTACTTTATCTTTAGCCTATTTCAAAAATAACAAAATAACTTTCACATTTCAAAAATCAGATTTTTT